CACTCTGTAAAACCGAATAATTATTTTACACATTATTATCTACATAGTTGGTACGGAATATTATTAGAATTGCATTTTTTTACATTTTTTTTTTTATGTTCTGCAGTAGCATTATTATTATATAATATTATTTCCTATACGCGTGTGTTGGTTAAGTTCCAAAAATAATTTATAAGTGTGTATCCAACGATAAACCATTGCTAACTAAATACGATTCTGAGCGAAGTTTGGTTAAACACGTTAAGAATAAACGCAGTGGTTTTTACAATTTTCGTAAATATTTGAACTAGTAATACGCTTTTAAAAAAAAATAGGTACTACATCACGTTCAGCTCTCTTTTATTTCCGAGCACTAAATAAAACTTATATAATGAACCTGGTCGTAAATTTTCCAGACTTTTAGTTCTGTCAAACAGATTTTATCCACATAAAACCAAAAAAAAAAAACTAAAAAAAATGCTCAAGTTTATAAATAGCTTGTTTGAGCTTATCGAAAAAAATTCCAAATTCAAAATACTTAATTAATTCGAAATTTTATACCGTTTAGAATTGGTTAGTATAAGTACTATGCGTGAATTTCAAGTCTCCACAGTTATTTTTGACTTGATTTCAATAAAAATAACAAAAATAATGTAACCGTTATCGCCGTTTTCCCATTTAATAATCCCTATTATTTTGCCAATTTAAAAAAAGTACAAAGAAAATCAAAAACTGCCCTTGAAAATTTTATTTCAGAACGCTACACTTGAAAATCGGAACAAGATTTCTGGTAGAAAAATTGTTTACAAACAGAAAAAAAAATACATCGTCATATTGACCAATACACTCCTCCCTTCGCTCAGAATCTAAAATGTGCACCATATATAAAGGGTATATTCAAATTCTGATTTTTGAAATTTGAATAAATGAAAAATTTGACCAAGAAAATGAGGTGAGCACACTTAGTGAATCATCCAGTATATAAAATAATAACCAGGGTAAAGTAAAAAATGAAATAAGTATACAATAATAAAAACTACGGTATTATGGAAATCGCTCATAATATAACAAGAGCAACGCAAACGATATTTTATTGTTAGATTAAAAATATTATTATATATAGTATAATATAGTATAGGTATAAGTAATTATAATTACGTAAAAAACGTCAATCAATAATAATATATACGAGAAACTAATAAAAGCGCAGGGCCTGCGCCGTAGGGTAATACAAATATTGTATACATCTTTCTAAATACTTATATAGTATAATACTGAGTAAAATATTTGTATTATCTACGATTATAATACATAATTTTATAAAATTGTTTTAAAATCACGAAAAAAAGAAAAAGCATTGAATGTATACATTATACATTTAAAAAGAAAAATATCATCAGTGTCATAATCATGATCTAGGAATTTGGGTATTAAATCCCCCCTGCATTGGCCTTTTTTTAAAAATATTATAACTAATATTTAGGTTTCGAGTGTTTTTCCTGACAATTTAATAAAGAAAGAAGGTACATTTACAAAAAATAGTTATATCTTTTACTACTCTTATATTTCACTCTGTATATCAAATGTTTCTGTATATGAATTTAAAATGCAGAGAACAAAAATGTAATAGATCAGAATTATACCTCAGACTGTTATCGATACACTAGATGTATGCAATAAGAATATAATATATCCAAATATTTTTCCTTTTTAAATATTATGTTCATACACAAATACAATGTACGTATATCGACTAAGATGCCTGAATGCATGTTCTCTACGTTCAAGTGAATCAAATCATATTTGCGGAATATGATGTCAAATGTATTTAAAATTGAAAATTGGGATGCTACACAAATATTACGTACCAAATAACAAAATATTTTGTTGATTAGAATCTATTAAATGGATTAGCTATGCAGGCACTCTATAGAAATGTACCGATAGATCAAGATGACGTACTGAATAAAGCACGGGCTCGAAGCCGAGAAGAGTAGATCTATAAATATATAATTTTTAATTTAATCCTCTGCAAGAGGGGATCAGAATACTCTCATGGTACCCCTGTCATAAAAAGCAACAAGAAAACCTCCTATATAGTTTTTAAAAATTTTCCATCCGCCCTCCAATATATTAGTATAATTAAGGTGTCAATTTAATTTCAACTACTAAAATCGATCTATGCACATAAATAATATAGGCACTTGAATTTTAGTATTTTGAACTGATTCTATAACTAAATGTATATTTAAATTAGATCACTGATAATGACTACCAATATCAAAGTACAATAATTAGGTTCATAGACGATGTTTACGTTTTATATAACTTACGTCATTATACTTGTAAAAAAAAAAAAACAACTTTAATTTTGTTTTTTTCTATAACCTAGTCTATAAAAAATATATTTGATAAGTTCAGTAGTATTAAATTTATTATTATCATACGGATATTTTAGTCAAGCCAAAAATAATATGTTTGAACGAATCAGAATTCAAAGATTCATGAAAAAGGAAATAGTATAGGTACACACAACACAAATATATAACTATGTACTCGTAGTCTGATTTCAATTACAAATTATCATTATTTAAAACACTATTTGATTATTCAAATTAAATCATTCCTACTATTGGAAGTTTAGAATAATGCGCTAAAAAAAAAAAAAACTAAACCAATTGCTATATTGTACAAGTAGTATGGGCAAATGGGCAAGTAGTCCATAATAATAATAATAATAATAATAACAACTGTAAAATATTGCAAGTGTAAAATAATAAAATTCATTTTTATGTTTAACCACCTGTTATCGTACATATTATTGTAAGTCAACATAATTATTTTGATAACGGGTATCAACGCGCATAAACAACATCATATTATATGCTTTTATATACATATATCAGGGGTGTCCAAACGATTGATCGCGATCGACGGGTAGATCACGGATTGTTTAAATGTCGATCTCCCTTTGTTTGAATTTATTTTGTATAATTAGTAGATAAATCACAATTATGTCTAATCAATTTTATCTCAATATATCATTATTTTGTTGTAAATTTATCGAATAGTACAATTCAACAGCGTTTATACTGGTAATTGTATTTACAATATTATATATAAGTCTTGTTAAAAGTGTGATGAAAAACATTATTTAACAATGCATTTCAACTTTATTATTTGTAAATTTATGTTCATTATTAATACCTATTAGGTAATTTATAAATTTGTATTTATTCATTTAAAATAAAATAAACATTTACAATCTGTACATTTTTTGCACAATGAGCAAGTTCGATAAAACAATATAACAATAACATATAAAAGACATAGACACGCGAGAAGGGAAGCCATTCAGTGATAGGACCCTAAATTTATAATTATACATTTTTGTTAGGAAATCGATCGTCAAAGGAAAAATATATTCTTAGTAGATCTAAACATAATTTAGCCACCCATACTTTATATTATAATAATAATAATTCCAACTCGGTGGTAATATTTTAACTTTAAAAATAATAATATTTACAAAAAAATTATTAAAAATAAGTACATATAATCTATATTTATTATTAAATGACAATATTTGATTTTATATGAAAAAAAATAAATATATTTATTATTTAAACCATAGATGAATGGCATGGTAAATTAAAAAAGTAATTATCTATCGAGAGTTCCACAAAAATATTAATTATTTCTAACTAATTCCGTGGAGTCAAGAGAGGTAAATAATATTTCCATTTGTATAAACTTTAAATCGTTACCATTATTTGCGCGCAATATTTCGAAATATTGATATATTTTCAATAAAAACACGATTAACGATCTTAACTATTAAAAAAATGTATATTATAATCTAAAAAATAATATCCTATAAGTCGTATATTTAATCTAAAGATTGTTGTATGCATGTCATACAATATAAAAATACAACGGTTATTCTTAATTTCTATAGGTACAGACATCTGAATTATATGAAAAAACGAAATATAATTTTTAAATGTTTTATTTTTTTTATTATTTCGATCAATATCGAAAACTACAATATTTCAATGTCCTTTTAATAAACTTGACAAACAAGTAAGTATATAATTCAATAATAAACAGTTCGGTTCAATGTTATTGGCAATTAAATGTTAAACACAAAGTACCTACTACAACTATATTCCTACTCATTGTTTAATAATAATTGTTTTAAAGATTTATATTAATTATATAATATATTAAAATATATAATTTTTACTATAACTATAAAGTAATAATACATAGTAATTAATTGAATGACATTAAATTATTGAATATAATAATATTATAAAATTAATATCAAGTTAAATCAATTAAAAAAAACATTTTTCAATTTTTAATAGTACGAGTATATACATGCCCTTAAATTTATTCGGATAAACACAAAATATATATAATGTACAATAGATACCATTTATAATGACGCCGATTATATTGACATGTCGGGTGTAATAACCTTATATTGGACAAAACTTCTATATTGTATGTACTAATTTGCATCGATGACTATGTATAATAACATAATAATGGTGAATATCTAAATATATTTGGTGATAGCGTGAGTTCTGTAATATTATTACTCGTTCGTCGTAGCAAATAAAAATCTATTCTGAACACAGTTATGGTAGTATCAATCGTATTTTCTCTTGTTGTCATAAAGTAACCCTGCAGATAAATACACAAAAATCAAACAACAGAAAGAAACTTAGGGGGTAAACTGTAGAAAATGTCGATAAATGTCTCAAATAAAGTACCACTGGACAGAAATTCCGCACCTTTTAACGTATTATAGCGTAAACAATTGGAGAATTTGCCTAACTAAAAAATATTTTTAAAAAAACAGACATAATTCGCATCGCGGGAGGGCCACTGTTGTGAGTAAGAAGTTGGGAAGATAGGATATAAAGGACAATTTTATTTATACCTGTATGCAACGATTAAATTCATTGCTAACGAAAAACGATACTGAACAGAACTTGTTCAATAGTACTGCTTTTCCAACAATGTGCGTTTTCAAGACATGATCGCCTCATAATGTACTAATTATATATCATTGTGCATTTTTGAAATTCTACAAGAAATAGCTCCTGTATAAAGGTATATGAAGTTGGAGCTTGAAGAAGAGCAGGTTTTCCCAGTCAAAAAAAAACAATTTATTTTAAAAGCTTCGCATATTATACAGTAAAACCAAATAAATACCTATTAATTATATTTGATTTGTTTTAATAAATATTAAAAATATTTGCATTCTAATAAAATTATACTGTAATAATTCTGTTATCGTATAGGTACACTGTACAATTTTTACGAACCACTGAATATTTCACGTGATAATTACAACGTTCATTTGGTTGTGTCCTACTGTAAAAAGAATACTACGCGATACACTGCACGCATTATTATTAATTCGTGTTTGTGCCGTCGTTACAAAGAGACAAAAACCAATTTTAAATATTAGTCGTTAAAAACGCTGGTCGATAGACTCATCGCAAATCGAACCAGTTTTGATCTCTGCAGTGCTTGTGGATGTCGGTTAGTGGTTAACTAGTAGTTTGTTCGTAATAATGTAAGTACAATATAATTTATTATTTGTGGCGAAAAAACACGTTTAGAAATTATAAAAACACACGCCATTATAATAATAAACACCGTAGACTGCAACATATAACACCGCACGTGCACTAAATAAACATACGATATTGTTTAGTTGACGAATTATAAACACATAACATTTGGTAAAGCTGATATATTTGGGAGCATGTTTACCTCGTCGAAAAGCTGCAGGGTTACAGATGATATATTATGTTTTGTTAAAAAATAAAATATATAACGACAAAAGTTTGCTAACAAATATTTAGGCGAAAAAAATATTATAATATATTCTAGTTTGGTCATTTTTTTCACATTTATAATTCTTTTTATGTGATTTAAAAACAATTTAATCGAGCGTGTTCCGCTTATATATTACTTATATATATACCACTATATATAACTTACATATTTTTTATTACAGTTATTAAATATTACAAATTCGAAAGGTGTAATATATACCGTAATCATATTGCTTATACGCATTTGTCGATATATGTGATTATTATTTCTCTGGTTCTATACAAGTATGTTCAACGGTAAAAAAAAGAGCAAATCCCATTGAATAACGCACATCGTCAACAATTTAAAAAAGAACTATTATTAGTACCAGCTACTATCTATTAATAATAAAATGGTAGTATTTAAAATTTGCTTCATGATTTTGAAATGCGTAATAATAATGTTCTGTAGGATTTTTCATTTAATAATGGGTGTCGGTAAACGCGAATTTTCAAAATATATTGAACATATTTAAAAATCGAATTTCAATCATGTATAAAACTTAATCACATGAAGTATTATTGTACTAATAAGCTTAACATTATACTATTCAAGACGTCATTTCCTGCTTGAAAACATTTTGTACTTTCGGTAATATATATATAGCTAATACGGGGTCCCTGACCTTTCTTTTTGTTATCCCACGCAAACAGCGCCAAACCGGTATTCAAGGTAGACTGTAATAAGTACGTAAGTACACACACGACTCGTACGTATTCCTAACATTTTTTTTTTTTTTTTCATTTTTTATACGTGTATATAATAATATTATATAGCAAACATTCGCGTAAAAATCGCGGGTCACCACCACAACGATTCAGTAGGTACTCCTCTACTCCTCTTCCCCTCGAACCCCTTCCTACCATCACGCCCCCCCCTCATCGAATGGTCAACACAAACGTTTTGATAAAACATAAAACATAGGTGGTATAGCCGCTGTCCGCAGTGCAGGTATAACAACAAACATCCAGTATTTCAATGCCTTGATTTTACTGTAAACTATTATTAGCGGAAAGAAAAACTAACCGGACCGAACACGTTGTGTAGGTACGCTATACTATTATAATACACCATCAGTTAGCGAACACAACACGAACAGAGTATACCTACGCGTCGCACGATGACCAGGTGAGTGGTACATACTTGTATTTTATTATAGTGAATTAATTTTTACTGGGCCGCAATAATTATAATATACACAATTTTTTTTATTATATATAATATTATGCTTTAACTATATAATATAATAATAACGTAGTTCGATTAAAATATTATTATTATCCTTTATACACTTTCGTCGCGACTACGTTAATAACCGATGAGTTTTTTTTTTTTTTTTCATCGCTTCGGTTATTTCTCTATCTTCAATATAACTGCAGAAGAACAGTGTTGTTGTACACCGTACTTTTAATTTAATATTAATACATCGCGTAAGTATACTTATCTGTGTTGCGGTAATGTTCTCTGACAACAAAAAATATATTTTCTTAAATATCATCGAAAATAGAAATCGTTATTGGAAAGTAACAGTTTTTTTTTTTTCGATGAACGGTTCACCACCACCGTGGTTCGGTCATGGCAAAATTTAATATAATATTATATGACATCAACTACTATATTATGGTAGGCGGATAAACAATAATATTATACCGCGATAACATTGTATATTGTACACGATATCACTCTCGGAAAAAAATAGTTCCATTAGACATATTCTTTAGTCGGGCATTTTCAAATTCCGCGATAGGCATGTCGGCTTACGCGTACCTTTTTTTTAATACTATATAAATTGTTTTAACACCGCGTATACATAATTTAGCTTTAAAATTCGATGTAAAAATGTATATGTTCAGCGTATTATTTTGCTAGTGATTCGTGCGAGTCATTCTATTATGGTGAATGCCTAAATCTACCTAACCCATTTGATTTTTAATTTTATTCGTCAAAATATTTACAAAGATTTTTACCATAAAAATGACTTTTCGGTATCGATCAGTAATAATGGCAATCGGTTTATAGATTATAATTGCACAGGACATTGTTAAATCTTGCGCATCCTGTATATATCGTGTAATAATAATATAGTGTGAATAACAATATATATATATATATATATATATATATATAATTTTATATAGTTCCGCGGTAAATGACGGACTGTTGTTTACGTTATACGTTTACATTATAATGTTATTACGAGGAGTATGACACGAGATTAAACTCTTAAATAATAATAATCCGGGCGTTAAGACGCGCGAGCGATATTTTGTATCATACAATAATAATAATACAATGATAATCCTCGAATCGATAATACTGTTATTATTTTTTTTTCCGCACACCAGGACGTTAAACTGCACTTACATCAACAGACCAATAGGTCCGCTGGCCGATGACGTAGCGAACGCGAGACGCCTGCTGGGCATGACCGACGAGTCGATACGCCGGGATGTCCGCGAGCTTAGACAGTGGCTCAACGATGAGCCCGATTTGCCTAACACGTTTGAAGGAGGTGAGAGAATAAAAGGCCGCCGCACGACCTCTAGCGATACAATATCATAATAATTAAATCAGCCAAGGGCGTTTTGCCGAGTAATTAGATGTACATTACCACGGTCGTTGTTCCAAAGTTGTATAATATTATATTTGTGATCGTATCAGATTTACTTCTACCCGGCGAATATTATTTATAATTGCTTATTATTACTCGAAAATAATAATAACTAATTAGTAATTATCAATTATTTAATTATTTTTAAAAACCAACGGTATCCTTCATTATGATTATTTATATGTATAATACGAGTACGCGTTTTATTAAACAAATATATACAAATTAGTTATTATGACACAATATATTTATCTAAATTCATTAATATATTTTTTTTACCCATATTTTTATGCAAAAAATATTATCAAATATTATCACGCAATTTAATTTTCATTTTTAATACGGATCGGTTTTTATTGCGTGACACTAACTTGTATAAATATACAGGTTATCTGATTATACATAATATATATTTTTTTTTTCAAGTGGACACGGATTGGTGGTTGGAGAATTACTTGACAATAAACAAGAACCAAGTGGACAGAGCCAAAGCAAATTTGCGCGTGTACTTTCAATTGAGAAACCTCATACCGGAAGTGATGGGCAACCGAAATCCGGAAACTGACAGATATATGATTCAAACATACAACTCGGTGTAAATTTTTGAACTATTCTAATCATTACAATATGATATTTTCCCGTAGGAAATTCTCTAGCAAAATACTAAAATATTTTCATTTTCGATTTTTTTTTTTACAGGCTTATAAGTTTAGTTCCTACCATAATGGACAAAAGCCGAAAACTGGTAATATTTAAGCACCGTGCGGACGTACCGGCTTCGAATTACCACCCCGTGGCTGTAGTTAAACAATCGATATGCATAGGCGAAATTTTATTCGCCGAAGGCTTTGATCATACGTCATGCGTGATCGTGTTCGACTTGGGAACGTTTCGATTGAATCATTTGGTCAGATATCCCATAGGACTGTTACGCCGATTTTTTTTTTACGTCTGGGTTAGTTTTCGCGGGTCTAGAAACAATGGAAATTTGTCACATTTATTTTTTTTTATTTTTGTACATTGGTCTAACTATATACGATTCAGTAAAACAAACGAATTTTTCTTAACAAATTTTCCAAAAAGATCATATTTTTTCAATTGTTTGACTTTGAACTCATAAAATCGTATCGATTGTTAAAAACGAATTTCAAATATTTTGTTTTTTTCGTGTGCTAACTAAGAGGGGCCTAGTTAGGGTACACAAATTATTGTTATCGCTTTATCGGTCAGCATTCAGGGTATGATGAGACGGATTATACTTCAGCAAAGCCGCTGCTGTTATCAGTTTATCATATAAAATAAATTCTAAAAATCGTGTGAATTAATCGACTTTATCGAAATAATAAATTAATTCAAGTATCTGTGAAAAAAAAAAAATAACTACTATTTGAATTGCTTTTAATCATTTTGAGTTAAATTTCACAACTAAAAAAATTGAACGCAGTTTTATTATTTTTACCTGCAGGACAAATCCATTCCCAAATTATGTTCATTGTTTACCCCTGATATTTCACAATACATTTATAATGCTTTATAATAACATTATATGAATTTTACCAATGTATAATACGTTACTTACCTATAATATTAAAAAGGAATAACAAAAGTTGGGATGTTCTATTTTTTTTACAGAAAGCTTATCCAGAACGTGTGGCCCAAATACACATAATAAATCCACCGAATATTTTGAGCGCAGTAATGGCGTTATTCAAACCGTTTCTAAAGTCAAAGATCCGAAAGAGGGTAAATAATAAATATTATTATGAGTACATTCATCCATAGCAACAACGTCTGCGATAATTATTACGACTAAAAATGTTATTTTATTATAAAATATTGAACTTTTACTGTAGATAATTGTACATCAAAATTTCGAAAGTCTTTTGGAACACGTTCCGTTGAAATATTTGCCTAAAGATTACGGAGGGGAATCGCTGTCGTTGATCGAGCTTCACGGTGAGATATATTTTTTTATTATTATTATTACAGTATAATAACTATTTATGTACCTATATATCAATAATAATTACTAAAGTTAAACATAATATATTGCAGAACAATGGCGTCAAAAAGTCATCGATTATCAACCGTATTTAAACATTTGCCTGGACAGACAGAGAAACGTAGGACAGAATAAAAACACATCGGACTCATCGGGAAGTAATAATTAATAAGTGTCATAAAAAACTGAACGACATTGCCCGACTAACGTCATATTACTATAAATATTATTATTATTTAAATATATATGTATATACTTATACAAGTTTTTTTTTTTCGTAAAATATATATACTTTTTTTTTTTATTGGTACAAGATATTATAATATAAAAGTATACATTTGAATTTCAAAATATACTTAGAAATTAAAACAATATATTGTGCATATTATAAAATTATAATAAAGCCGCGGTTTAAAAGTATTTAATTAAAAAAAGAAATTGCATTTCAATATTGTATTATACATTTTATGTGTACATTTTTTTTTTAATAAATAATATGGCAAACAGGAAATTACCACTGAGAAATATCATAGGATACACATTATTAATATCTTAAATTGGTCGACCGATAATTAAAAAATGATATATACACGTGAAAAATAATATGTTAAGCAATCTTATATTATTGTATGGCGTATAGCTAAACAACATAATTTAAAGTTAAAGTCAACTGTAAGTACCTACTGATTATTTAAGTACCTACCTAAACAAACTCAAAAAATTATAAATTATAATATGTATTGTATTCGTCTAAAAAGGATTATTTATATATGGAATATAATTATATAATTTGAATGTTATTATTTATTCTCTCTCTATATATATATATATTTATAGATGAATATTATGATATAAATTATCTTGGAGGTCACAGAAATATTATTAAATTCCAACCTATATACACAATGTGTCCTGTCTTATAAGTACCACTAAATATCTCAGCCTGATAGCCTTAGATTGAAATGGAGTTTTCGGAAATTGATGGGAAGTACGAAAGTACACACATTGAGATAATTTTTAATTTTTTAACCCTTCCAGTGCGCGCATGCTCAATTAAAATTATTTTTTTTGAATAGCAACCCTTATTTTTATCACTATATATGGATAGATCATTTTCTTCTAAGTCATCATTTACCATGGTCCTAAACTTCAAATTGACCGATTTACAGCTTTTTAAAATTTGAAAATAACACACTTGTAGTACTGAGTGATATTTATAGATTTGAAAATTTTTTATTCAAAAATAAAATGATAATTACATTGTAACATATTATTTTAATTTATGGTGAATTATTTATCTAATAAAATGTTCAACATTTCCTCTATTCTTTTCTAGACACGCTTCCAATCAAAGTGATTTTTTGATTGGAAACATCAAATTTCAAAAAGATTTAGCTAGGTTAATTTTAGTTTAGATCCGTGGTAAATAGATCATAATGAGAAAAAATTATCTATCCATATCTGATAATAAAATAAAGGGTTGCTATTCAAAAAAAGTAATTTTGTTTTCGCGTACGCGCACTGAAAATTATCTCAATTACTTCGGTACTTCCCACAAATTTACTCCCGTAAATCCCATTTCAATCTAATGTCTTCGGACTGAGGTATTTACCGGTACATATAAGATGAGACACACTGTATATTCGGAAGTTTAACCTTAAAGATATTATATATGATTAGATATCGTATATTATTACATTATATTATAATTTATCAAGGCTATTTCTATATCACTGTTTTAATCATATGATCATAATGACATGATTACTACAATCTTCAATGTACACATACGAATATTATATACTAAATACAGCTATATTAAAAAATACGTATTAAACCAATAATTTTTTCAAATAGAAAATAACAAATTTTAAAACACGTGATGTACCTATAACACGATTGTTCGATAAAGAATACAAGTACTATTGCAAAAAGTAACCTACATAATTATACACGACTATCAGGCACGTATTCAAGTTGGGGAGGCGTTGTATTCCCCCCCCCCCATCGGTAATTCTTCAAAAGTGGAAAATTGTATATAACATTTATTTATTTTATTGTTATACATTTATAACTAATAAAATACGGGAGTGTTTTATTTAGTCTGTGTTCGCTATAATATAATGGTGTGTGATATTGACGGTACGGTTTATTAAATAATTCTTCTCTTGCGCTGTGACTTCATAGTGAATTCTAAAATCCAATTATTAGTTTACAAAAATTAATTATATAATTTAACATTCGTACATTAAGTTATACCCAACATAACAACTAACCTAAATCTTATAACTAATTTTTATACTTTTTTTATATACACATATATTTAAATGAAATTCACGTGCAAGTAATAAAAAATATATTTTTTTCATGATAATATGTTAGTTATTTTACCTATAATAGATAAATGTTTTATAATTTTAATTTAGTTTAAAAATGTATGTACAATTTAAATTATAATTAGGTATAATTTTATGTAAAGTTACAAGTTGCAGAGACACCAAAAAATATTGGGCAGAGAGAAAAACACGTAATATTAATTGTCAATGTATTTTTAGTTATACAGTTATACACGCCCGTGTCTATCTGGCAAACTATATTGATAAGATCTACAAGTATAATAAATAGTAATTATTATCTATTTTTTTTTTATCCAACAATAAACTCACCACCTGGAAATACCGTTGAATAGTACGTCAGGTGATTAGCCATCATTTATTATGCCGTTCACCAGTACATGCACTAGTAATTATTACTTAATATTACCAAAGTGTATATAAAAAGTACAACTCACAAGTTCAAGATGCAGACAGTATTATATTATAATATACTTGGAACTTCCAAAACCTAACCTTCTAACTTGGAAGTTAGAATAATATTTATATTTTGTAATCGTTGTAATAAAATAATTATTTAACAATTTAATTAGGAAAAATCGTATTATGTACCTACCCAATCTATTAGGCATTACTGAAGCCTGTTCTTGTTTATATCATTATTTTAGCACTTATGACTGTTGAGTTTTGGTTTATACGTGGTTAAAATCATTAAAAATTAAAATATAACCACACGGTTTGTATACGTCAGTAGACATTAAACGTATATATTTAAATATTTCAGAAATAATAAAATATAATAGTATAATATATTTTATTATCCACTGATTGAATCACCACCATTGTACGGTTTACGAACATCATGTACCTACCAGATTTTGTATACTTATAAACATTTGCCAATGAAAAGGGATTGTCGACACATTGAAAATTAAAAGATAATAGTATAAGCTTATTATTAAAGCTTAAATTATTATAAGACTCTGCCCTTGAGACTACGGATATTGGATTTGATGGCTAGAGGTGCTCTACGGATGCAATTTTGCATATTAAGTATATTGTTATTATTATTATTATTATTTAATGCAACATAATAATATATCTAGGTATGTCAAATTTTTATCTTAAATAAGAAATAAAATATTTGATTTCTCGTAAACTAGTTAATAACAATGATAATAATTTAAAAATCGTAAAAATAATAAAATATCTGTTAATTAATTTTTAAATATTAACATATCACAATCATAATATACTGAATAATAATGAATCGGTTAGCGACAGCTGAAATAGATTATCAGGAATCTAGGTTGATCAAAATATATTAAGAGTAATAATAACTATTATTAATTAGTAAAATAACTTTAATGAATATTCTTTACTTTTTAATATACAGTGCGATTCAAAATATAATAGACGTAGGTATCTAAATAAATTTAGTTTTTATTATTTCACCGGTGGCGTATTATTATTATCAACAATATATTATAGATTCGACCAATTTATATATTATTTCATCGTTCATTAGTTATTAGTGCCTATATCAATCTATTTATACTATCGTTTTTTTTTTTTTTAAATTATTATAATTTTTGCACGAAACCATATGAATATTATAAGTATAGCAATAACTAATTAGTAAATTATAATATTATTCTAGGTAGTGCAATATAAGCGTATTTGATAATTCACTAACAAACTATAAGTACTTAATAATAGGAGTAATTGGACGGTTCAATTGAAAACTATAAAACAAGTAGGTAGGTACTAAATTGTTTGATAAGAATTTTTTTTTTATGCTAATGATATTATAGGTTTTGTAGGTAATTTAATTATTTACATTATCAATCATCAATTAAATCATAATCACTTATATTAATAACTATTATGATTCAAATACTTAATAAGTCTACGAATACTTGCTTCATAAAGAATTAAAACAAAAATATAGCACATTTTTTTAAATAAATTATTAATTAACCTATTTGGATTAGATTAGACAATATTTCTAAAAATAATAAAATGATTTTTATAAGTAAAAATATTTGCGTATATAATGTACGTGTGTACAAGAAATGACACAATGAAATTAGTTTTTCATTTATATTTATATTACATATATAATGTTGTATGTATACAATTGTAACAAATATATCAAGTTCGTTGTCTGAACTCTTTCCTTGAAGAAAAAACAATTTGGCAAATGTTCAAAAATAACACATTTTTGAATTGACTGCAGCGTTACCAATTATTTTTTAGTAAAAAAAAATAAAAAAAGGTATAGTGAATTATTATTTTTTTTTCAACGAAAATAATACTTTTATTCCTTATTATTCCTAGGTTTAATTGTATAATTAGATATTTAAATTGAATATAATACAAAAATATTAAATAACGTAGGCCTACTCGAAATCATAATTAATTTCTGAAAAATGTACAAACATCAAAGTAGATCAATAAATCTTTCTTGAATTATAATTTATCCCTTTTATAACTTAAAAAATAGCAAATCAAATTTTACGTGTACGTATTAATAGGCTTGAAAAGTATAAGATTTGAATTAATTTATGCATACTAATACAACGATAAATCATTACAATCAAAAGCCATTATAAGTGGAGTAGTATTAGTGGTATTAGTCTTGGTTTTTCCTTTGTAGCCAAAGTAACACAAAAATTCCATAAATAAATACTAAAAATAACCAAACAATTAAAATTTTTACTATACAAACTATCAAAAAATTAAACATTTACACGGATAATTTTTAAAACATTTTTATGTTGTTCAAAAATATTAGTTTTTTAAAATTTGTATCGAAAAGTTAAGTCGAAAATCAAATCTCAAATCACGAACAACAATATAAACATCTTTCCTTTGAAATTTAAAAAAAATTCTAAAAAAAAAAAAAGAAAACCGCGTTGAAATCTGAGCACTGCTGTTTAGTGATAAGTGATAAAAATGATAATGGCGTTTACACTCTACGTACGTTAGACGATGTAGAGTTGCCTAACCATCGGCGAACAGGGGATGACCAAACACGGGATTTATATTGTGTTTCGTCGGCGGCGCAGCGGACCACGCGCGACCTACATCACGTCATAACTCAAGGACGGACACGCGCGTTTCTCTGCGGTTATTATTTGCACGCACGCACAACAGAACTACAAAATTTTACAAGGCACGCACGAACACACGCTCACACGTACACACACGCATACATTATTATTATTACTATTTTTTTTTCACCTAACTGTTATCTTATATTAATAATACAGGTTATAGTATTAATATATGATGATGACGATGATGATGTGACCACCATCGCACGATCGTTCTACACCTATAACGTGCATAATATTATAACAGTGGCCAATATCACA